CACACATTTGACATCTTGTAATCTGTATTTCGTATAGTCGTATAAGATGTAGATATCATTTTTTTGGAATTTGATTTTAATTTATGGCGGGAAGTATTTTGGATATATATATATAAATTTTTCATGATTACGATTACTTACATAATAATTAATATTGTATAGGTACCTAAGAATTTATAATATAGATTATCTACATAATAATACGTTTGTATAATATACTATAATTGGCGAACGAAAATGTATAAATTACCAATCTAACTTTTATTTTAACCATACCAACCAGTTTTCGACCAGTTTTCAAAAACAAATTACTGTAGTCCACACTTCCACAGATTGCTGATACTTTCAACTAGTGTTTATATTGTCATTTTCTGAACGTAATTTATACTACATTTATAGTTATTATATACTATCATTGATTATATAGATATTATTAATTATTTATGACTTTATATTTTGAAAATATATGCATAATATAATCAATGATACTATAATTATTTATTACTTCTATTATTGTACCTATATAGAATTATTTCAAAATATTTTTTTGTATTATCTTGTCGATAAAATATTTTTACTTGGTCTTATAAGAGCTTGAAAATTTATACAATAAGGTTCTCTGATTATCGTTCCCCATATACCTACATTGTCATTATACCTATTAAATAATGATGGAGATACATTATTTTATATTAGAGATAGGTACATAGTCAAGACATACTTTTTTTAAGAATTTGAATTTTAAATAATAAATTTGTAGAAATCATGAAAAATTTCCAATTATTAAAGTTTCATTTCTTCAGGGAAGATACAACACCGAAAGAAATATAACTAAATTATGCTCACGACACGAAATTTCCATGACAACGAAAAGAAAACATAAATACGATTATTTTAATTTATTATAAACATATGTTAATTAAATTTATAATAATTATAAATATCAAAACTATATCGCTATAGACTTAATATTACTATATTAGTATTAATACAGTTTTTCTTAAATCTCCTTCTTGTCGTATTTAACTTTTTACCGACGCTGCTAAGCTCTTTGTCGGGGCAGTGGCGGCGCCAGAATTTCAATACCAGGTGGGCCAGGCTGGGGCCCAAATATTTTAGGGGGGGGCCAAATTGTTGACTTGATATTTATA